GCGGGCGGATTCTCCGAGGATAACTATCTTTCCGTCGACCAACGTGGTTTCAAGACACTCATTCAACAAGAAGCTGCGACATTCCTACAACCTAGCCAAATACTCTACAACGCCACTGTAAAGGAGATTGCTTATTCAGAAAATGGTGTCGAAGTGACTCTTGTCAACGGTACCGTGTTAACAGCTGACTACGCCTTGTATGTGTTCTCGGTCATCCAGACGTTCGATCTCACAATTTATATTTGTGGTACAGGTACACATTCAGTCTGGGTGTGTTGCAGAACGATGACGTTACTTTCCAACCGAAACTGCCTGAATGGAAACAGGAGGCAATTCAGAGCATGACAATGGTAATTTTAATGTCTGTCCTTCCAATGAGTAAACACACTGATCCATTTGTCCCGATACCACTAGGCTACATACACTAAAATATTCCTCCAGTTCCCGAAGAAGTTTTGGTTTGACACTCAGGTGAGCCCCTAAATTGATGTATGCCGTCTGCCCACTGCCTAAGTAAAGTACGTTATACTTTTGGCGTATAGTTTGCTGTCTATGCAGACAGAATTCGTGGTCATTACCCTGTCTGGCAAGGTCTCGACTTAGAAGATTTCTTCCCCGATTCCGGTATCCTCTTCGCAACCGTCACTGTAAGCTTCTCGTGGATTACTAATCTACTTGTCCCCTCAAGAGCTTCTGTCCTTGTTTTTAGGGCGACTACTCTGTTCGTGTAGAAGCTCTCCCAGATAAACAAATCCAAAGCGAGGTCATGACCGTCTTACGCTCGATGTTCCCCAACATCACCATTCCCGAACCAGAGGCTTTCTTTTTCAAGCGATGGCACGCAGACCCCCTTTTCCGTGGATCGTACTCAAACTGGCCAGCTTCGTTCTTCAGCGAACATCACGATAACATCAGAGCCAATGTCAACGAGCGACTCTGGTTCGCGGGAGAAGCTACCAGTAGGAAGTACTTTGGTAAGTTGTACCATAGAATTTCGGAATTGACAGGAGTGTGTTGAACTCGAATGCTTTTACTAGGTTTCCTCCATGGCGCGTACTTCGAAGGGTTGGATATTGCCACGCGGATCGCCAAGTGTATTAAGGGAGGAGGGTGTGTGAGCTTGATGCACTACGAGGACGTGAGGAACGCAAGGCCATATAGGCTTGATTAACAGTACGATAATGACCATGATGTAATTTCGCAGTGACAAAGCTTTAATACGACTTCTTATGACTTTGACGTTCTCGAGTGATCACTTTGAGGACGTTCAAACTCAAGTAAATAAAATATAAAGGTGTGACATATAATTGCCCATTGGCTGGATTGAACAACCGACCTCACCATTGCTTAGTAATACAAGTGGCGCGCTCTACCACTGAGCTAAACGGGCTATGATTGAAATTCTTCGGGGAATACTCTGTTGTGTCTATCAGGGCCGCATGAAGAGCCAAATTGCTAGCTTTGTTACTGCCACTCAAGCAATGGATTGTGTTACTTCATTACAGAGAATGAACAAACCAAGTCCTTGAATCAGATCTAACATCATCCTGGTACAATACATCAGCACATAACTATGACCTAATGAATATATCTCACCGGCTAGTAGCTAGCTCGTATAATGTCTACTTCCCTTGTCTGGAAGGGTTCAACACTGCTCAGGGTCAGCACAGAGGTGAAAGTAAACGTACGGATTGCTGTGACTCAAATTTGGATGTGAAACATTTCCGCATCACATCAAAACAGGAATACAACCTCCACCACTGGCAGCGTGATGTCGGACACAATTCAAACGAAAACCTATTGTATCCCTGTATCAGCTGAATGTTGCAATAATGCGAATACAAGAGGAAAAGGTCCCGCGTAATCGAGAACATAACATTCGCTGAGTTAGTAACCTAAACTCCGACGCGAGGTAGCCTGTGCATAGGCCCGTGCCTAACTCTTTGTTTCATTAGACGCCAGAACCCACTACAGAAACACGGTGTGGCAAAACATCCATCTCTTTCACCTTTACCACGACCTTCAGGCTATTCACTCCTGGTTAAGAGTAAATAACCTCCGTCTTTATTGTAATCATCGAGATTGACAACGATCCCCCCGCAACCTATAATTTCCTTCATTAACCCCTCGTGGTCTTCATCTCCATTTACGCCACTCCCCGTTCGCGTCGAGGATACCTATTGAAATCATGTTGGGACATTTACAAACTATTGGAGACAAGTCCTTGACGAGTCAGATGAAGACTGATGTCGTTGATTACACTGGCCTCATCGCGAGTTTGGCCAAAACGTCCTTCTTGGCCAAGTGGAGCCTAAGGGTATGTATCTCATTGTGGCGAACAATGACAAGCATGAACTAAATCGTGTTTGATTCAGAGCGACTTCTACGGGGATACTATCCTCAACCGTACCTGGATGGACGGTGACAATATCTTCTGGGGGGCTGGTCGCCGCCGCTACCTGGGACCCAAGTCGACCGAGATGGCAGAGATGGCGGTGGAAATCGCGATGGGTGAACAATCACCTAAATCGATCTATACCGCCCCAAGCCCACCCCAGTCGACTTTCGACACACCTAGCGCTACTAGTAGTTCATTGCCTGATAGTGACTACTTCCCCTCCATCTTTTCTCGTTCCTCCTCAAGGACATCCCTCTCGTCCATGTCCAGTGAGAAGGAGATGGAAGTCAGGGAACTGTGGGAGCTAGGACGGATCAAGGAAGAGAGGCAAAAACTTCTTGACCCACTGCAACAACGCGTCGCGGCTTCGAAGACGGATGAGACTGTGACCCAGGACGAGGCATTGCCTACAGATACTCCTACACTTGATGATGACGACGATGTCCCCGAGGTCGCGGTTCGTGCAGCCCACATTCCACGCTACAGCCAGAAGTTCAAGGAACTCAAGGCGATTCTACCTGCTGAATTCGTTCCCTGGCCTATCGATATGGCCAAGATTAACGCCGCAATGGAGGAATCCAAGAAGTATGGCATCAGATACGAAATCGTCGTGGATGACGAGGAAGAGGAAGAGCTAGGGCAGTTGATGTATCCTGATGAGGGTGACGAGTTGATTAATGTTGCCGAGCTGGATTGGGTAGAGGAGGCAGACATTACCAGCACCGCAGTTGGTTTGGGATCAGGGGATCAAGCCGTGTATGGTGATTACGACATGATACCCGAAGATGTCTATTCGGGTCCAGCATTAGGGGGTGTGCAGGAACCTGCTTATTCGCAGGTCACATCGCTCGATTACCCTTACTGATTATGTGCGGTTAGAGACGCAAGGAGGGGGTCGAAGAGTAGCAGAAGAGGAATGACACAACTTCCGTGGCGAGGAAATAAACACCACAAACGAGATCTCATGACAACGGTTCTACAAATGGCAGAACACACATTATGCCCATCTATCTTCCCCTGCTGTATTAATCATGGTTTATCGTGTGTAACATATCATCACTTGCCTAGTCAATAACATATTTCCAGTTGTATTCCAAGGTATGAGGGACGTCGAGCACAATAGCTAATTGAATTTACAGGATCACTTGTAAACAAGGTCAGGAGCCTCGCAAAACAGAAGAGTACGAATTGCTCACATAGTACACAGAACTTCCGATCTCAGGAGGTATGTTTATGTTTGTTGAAGAGAGATCTTAGGTGCACCATAGGATCTTCATCGCGAGGATCGATCTCCTCTGAGAGATTGTTGGTTGCAGCTTCTTCGTTTGAGGATTCTACGGCTGCGGTGTCCCTATTCAAAGATTCCTCGGCCGCAGGCTCCTCGGTCGAAGGCCGATCGAGTGATGATGATCCTTCAGCTTTGCTTCTAGTTTGAAACTGTCCCGTCTGTTGATAAAATCCTAACAACTGTTCCCTCGATATTGAGAACGTCTCTGCTTGCCTCGGGAAGTCTTTGTTACGGACAGCGGTAGCATACGACCCGATTGCCGTTTGAGCGATCTCCCCAACCCTGGCGAACTGCCGGGAAAATTTGGGAGGTTCTTGGCTAATTCCTAGGACATCACTGACAACCAAAACTTGGCCATCTACACCGTTCCCAGCTCCAATACCGATGACAGGTATATTCTGAACTCGTTTGGCGATGGATGTAGCGATGACCGCGGGGATAGCTTCGACGACAATGGCAAATGCACCAGCTCTTTCAAGATGGACAGCAGCATGGAAGATAGTCCTAGCACTTTTCGCATTTCGTCCTTGGACGTGGTAACCACCTGAAGCCACATGTCGTTGTGGCATAAGACCAACATGGCCCATAACTGGGATGCCGTAGCTTGTGAGTCTTTTAACAGTCTCTATAACCTCAGCTCCTCCCTCAAGCTTGACACCCTCTACTCCTCCTTCTCGCATTAGCCTGGCAGCGTTTCGAATAGCTTCCTCAGGGCTAAAGTAGGTTCCGAATGGCATATCTGCGAGAAGAAGGGGGGACTTGCTGCCTCGCCCTACCGCTCGACAATGATGGATCATCTCATCGAGGGTCAGTTGAACAGTGGAATCGTAACCAAGACAGACCTGTGCCAACGAGTCGCCAACCAACGTGATATCCACATCGGAGCTTTCACAAAGTCTCCCCGTCGGGAAGTCGTATGCTGTCAGCATAGTGATAGGTTTCCCGTCCTTGTACAGTTGTCGAATCATCGGTAATGTCATTTTGGCACGCAATGGTGACTCTGTGTTAAAGTCGATCAATGTGCTCTTGAGGGAAGATGGGAACACGTACTATTAGCTGCATTGTGCGAGCTCATACACCTTCCAGTAATCGCTTTCATGCGTTGCATTGTGGAACGGGAGAGAGGAAAGAAATGCATTGCAACTAGCCGGAAGCTGTTGTCTCTGTAGATTGAAAGCCTGAAACAAACTAGCTGCCGGCTTTGTAAAGAACTGACGGTCGAATCGAGATGTTGGTCAATTTCAAATATCAAGGTATCAAGCCACGCCTAAATGATATGGAGTTATATTGAGAAGTACTGTATTCAATATAAAAGCCCGCTTAGCTCAGTGGTAGAGCGCGCCACTCGTATCAGTGATATGGTGAGGTCGGTTGTTCAATCCAGCCAGTGGGCAAATTATATTTTTGAGATACTTTTCTTATCACAAGTCTTCATACGCCCAAGAAGAAGATTCGCCCCGTAGTGCTTCACTAGACTCGACAACTACGGTTCGTTGCGCATGTAACGCGTAAACAGGATGCAGGTACATACATATCATCGAGAGTCTTAAGGATACTATGACTGCCCAAATTGATATCCTGGGACGTGCTGAACTCTTCACCCTCCACCATTCCTTCGAAATGACATTTATTATATTGTCATAGTAATCTATACTTTATTGACAGTCGGGATGATCCAAGGAAGTTTTAAGCGAAGTTACATAGCTGTCCAAGTTCAAAGTGGCTCACCTTTTCCTCCCACGTCGTCCTCACAATTTGCTGGAGGCTTGAACAGACTCGAACTACATCGGTCGAGGTCCCTCGAAACCATGGAACGGTGCTTTGACATCTAGAATATATGGAGATAGCACAACGAACGAGAGGCAAGTCTTTTCAGAACGTAGCGAGACAGCTACTCACGCTTCTGCAATAGTAACCAGGTACTGAGTCTGGTATTCCCCTGTCGCCAGCTCGCTTTCACGGCAAGTTATCGGGCTTCTCTTGCGTCATGCATGCAGAGGGAGTAGGAGAACGAAGCCCACACGTACGGTATGTGTGTCACTTTTTCCAGGGGTGCATGAAGTTGGGAAGACGTCTTTTTTTCTGTAGAATCTTCGATCGTCAAGCCGCGAAATAAGAGTACGTCTGGCATGGGTAAATATGAAGTTCTACGTTGAGAAACTTTGGGTTGATATAAAATTGGACTTACTACGCGCTGTTCTCATAGGACCTGACAAGAGCATCCGATGCATGCTAAGTCTAAGGTGTAATTTTGGCTTTATTAGCTCCAAGTAGCCTGTCGTCTGTGCAGATGGTGTTCGATCATCAGTGATACTGTCCGGAATGCATGCTGGGGAACTTTATTGTTGGTCGACCGCTCATGGGTCGCCATAATCCATCTCGATATCAGATCGATTTGTTGCTGGTCGTCCCAAGGAGTGCGAGCGTAGTCTCGGCCATCTTGGTGAGTGGAGAAATACTGATACATGCGAAATGATAGGACACGGTAGGGCCTGTCTGAGATGTCTCGAGAATATAGGTCTTTGAATGGCTTAGTCCAGGGATGATACCATTGTATAAGAAAATGCCACGATAATGAGAGGATGAACCATCTCCGTTAGGAGACATGGGGGGTCCTGACAAGAACCGCGGGGACAGATTCCAGATGTCGTCTCTCTGATCCAAGTTTCCGTTAGACCGAGTTGGGTAAGAGGAAAGGGCAGAAGAGCGTATTACAAATTTCATCAGTCAGTCTCCCGCTCTCCATTGGTCAACTCATGGCTGATCACACGGCACGTTTATCGTTGGACAGACAGTCACCTTCACACACCAATGCAAAGGAGGCTGGATCTTAACCCTCGATATGTTTTAGCTTTGACTGAACTTTCCGACTACCCTATTTACCTAGGGTGTTTGACAGTTTTTTCGCAATTGTTTCATATCGGAGAATGTCGAGCAAGTGTACTACTCGATACCCTAATCCTATGGTATAATTGAGAAGACACGGCTATATCCAGGAGCTTAACGAGCTGACTCGGCCGGCAGCCAGAGATACGTATACATCGGTAATTACCTCCCCAGAACCTTCTTGGCGTCCTTCCTTGTCACTGGAAGTGCAGCTGGAGACACAACGTCTGCCAACCCACTCCCTCTCAAAGGGCGACTATGACTATGTTTCAAATAGACCGTTCTTATATCAAGAAACAGACTTAATAGCACCCGGAAGCTCCGAATAACTCACTTCTAGGACGCATAGCAATCCGGCACAGGGGGATACCTGTGGCGGAATTCATCAAGCTTTTTCAAGTCTTTCCGTCCGGTAACCGATGTCCTCTGCGTAACTGTATGTCTTTTTTTGACGGTTTGAAAACATGGGGCTAGCAACAGTACCCTCGGTGGGCAAAGGTTTTGACCGTCTCTTGATGAACATTGATACTATTTACGGTGCAAGAAGATCTCCGAAACAACAACCTTTGCGAATCACAGGTCTATCTACGTGATTTTGTGATAAGCCTTCATGTGGCGGAACAACGTTGCGCACCAAACGCGCCTCCCCCTCGCCTTGGTCAACGATGTATTCTCGTCTCTATATTTTCGACAAGCTTCTCCCCGCTTTGTAAGTCTTCTTCAATCTTCTCTTTCATCGCTGGTTTATACTTGCCCAATGTGGAGCGTCGGGTGACGGCGACTGCGAGCGTCCGCTCTGGTCCCCACCTCGTCCCACCGGCGAAGGAACTGGCGATTGACTTTACAAAAGCCTCTCCTCAGAGCGTCGGATCCGTCTATTATACGAAAAGTTTTCTTTTTGTCATGTCGCATATATCTTACCGGTCATCTCTGACGAATTTTTATGTCAAAGCTGCGCTCCGCGCGCCCGACGCCCAGATCGATTACCATGAGGCTCGCATCTCGCCGTTGACTGGAGTTCTTGATCTCTGACGTTGCCACAAAGGCTTTGGTTACCATATGCTGTCTGCCCGTCTATACGTATTTGTCCGCCCGGATTCTGGAGAAGCTTCGCGAAAACTTTGAAACACAACTCTGTTACCGTTCAATGTCGTGTCGGGAAGTTATGTCAAACACCCTACACGCCGTGGAACTGACCTTACAAAATGAATTCATGGGAGCAGCACGGGCATGGATTTGGCCCAGCTGCGCGGTCGATGTTGCAGACTTGCAGTTTGGAGGTGAACGTCGTTTGATGCTGTTGATCCACGGGCCGTTGCGGGCCGGTATTCCTAGTATGCGAGGGAAGCAATGTAACCATAACAGTCAACACAGCTGGTTCTTGTTCGGCTCCAGTGGTAGAATAAGGTTTTCCAAACTTTCCCGGCTTCTTTCATTCTGTTCCGTATTCTGTGGGTAGGGCACGGGATATCGCTTAGGGAAAGTCATGCATCCATAACGAATCTGTACGTACTCACCCTCTGGCCTCCTGTCCGTTTTCGTCCCAGGTTCTAGACTCCCGCAATATTCGACCAGATTCCTCTCTTATTCTGCCCTATCTTCCACCAATCGTAGCCTTGCCGGTCGTCTCCCGCGCATGCTAAAGCCAGCTTGAACTGTATATAGTCGCCCTAGGACATTCACCTGGATCGAAGTTGACTGTTAATGTCTAATGATCATGGTCACACGTACACTCCTCACCTTGAGGTCAGTCTTATCCAAATGTCCCGGGGATCCCGTTGGCCCCCCAGCTCCCGAGGGGTGGGTGGCGAGCATGCGCGCGCGAAGCGTAGTGAGCAAAGATTAGACTCGTCGTGCCTGCCAGCCAGGGACCGTTTATACTCTTCTCAAGCGTCGTCATAATGCTCATCAAGGCTGTATCGCAACCCTCCTCGCCGGATTTGAAGGGGCTGTCACTTTCTTTTGCGGTAATTGAATGTGGCGGTCACCGACGCAATCTTCGAGCATCGCTTTCGGTCTTGCGGAGCTTTAACAATAGCCTTGTGGCCACCGACCCAAAGCGAAATCCATCCGGGAGGCTGCTTCTCCGGGCGTCAAGCGCATGCACATCCATCCCACAGCGTCAACCCAGCACAATGAAAACTCCCGCGGGCCAGTGTGATGATCTCTCTTTTACTCATAGGTTATAGGCGAGGATCGCGCTGAGCCGTTGGGTTGGGAGTTCGTACTTCATTATGAACTTTCTTCACAGAATATTCCGTCACACCCAGTGATCCATCAATAATAAACACATATATCGTCATAGCCTGACCCGCGGAGGATTAAGCTGGTCTTTATACACAAACTTTTTTCCCGCGTCCGAAAACGCTGAACCTCCCGTTTGGTCGATTGCAACCTCATTGGAAATCTGTCCGTCAGCTCACTTCCCAAGCCGCCTAACTGACCATATGAAATCTCCATGATCAATATCTCGTATCAAGATCAGAGTACGCCCAAAGGTTTGTTCCGAATTACCCTTTCAACTCCAGTCACATCAACGTTTGACCGTCCTACTACCTCATTCATGACAGCTCACCTTCTTAACACAGACAGAGCACATTGTACCCTGCAGATGTTACAGCTTCGCGAAGCTCATTTTCTCTACCCCCTTCCGGTGCATTTTTTATACCACCTCGGGACCATCCGTTAACATATGTCAAAGCTTGGGATCTCAAGTGCTCTATTTGGGGACACGGGTTGACTCGAAACGGCTAGTGACTACGCACCGAAAGAGCTTTGTTGTGCCTCGACCTATCTGATTGATACACGCCCGTTCAGCGCGGTGTGGTGTGTTCAAAAGTTCATGTTGTGAGAACAAACAACATCACTCTGGCTTTCGTGTTCTTTTTGTTCATACTAACCAGATAGCTGTTTCAAGCAAGGCTAAATTCGCGAGATCTCATCCTCCTTTTCATAACGCCCGCGCGTTGGAGAACAAATGACACCCCCCTAGCGCTTTATATGGGTCTATTCGCTCCGACTCGCATGGACATTGAGGCTTGCAAGCAATTCAAACCGAGTTCAAGAATACGTACGGACGATTGTAGGTTGGTCTTCTGGGCCGGTTTCTTGTCGTCTATTATTATTCAACGAGTGCAGGGTTTGCGCGAAGTGGAGCTGGTATACTCGGCGAGAAGTATCTGGTCCGGCAACTAGCCGGGAGCTCAAGTCGAACAAGTCGGACCCATGACGGAAGAAAGTAAGCAGTATGATGTCTTTGGTTGGTCATATTCGCAAGACAATGGAGTAATTACAATGACAGGGTAGAGAGCTAGGGTATGAACGTCCGTACTACACGACCGTCCGTAGAGAGAGAGGAATCTACATATGATATCGGTTCGAAGCATGGCATGGGGGGAGGAGATTATGAGAAGAGTACAAGGAGCGAAAGGAGGTATAAGAAACTACAAGGAGCAGGATTCTGGGTAGTACAATACATTCAAGGAGACATATGAGCGCGGAATAAACA